CGGCAGGGGAGGGGTCGGCGAGGCGGAGCCGGGAGCGCCGCCAGGCCGGTGGGGCCCGCAGATTCCCGGATTCCCGCGGCTGCCCAGCCGCGCAGGACCGGCCCGAGGCGCCATGGAGGGGAGCCCCATCCCGGTGCTGACGGTGCCCACCGCGCCCTACGAGGACCAGCGGCCGACCGGGGGCGGGGGGCTGCGGCGGCCCACCGGGCTCTTCGAGGGCCAGCGCAACTACCTGCCCAACTTCATCCAGAGCGTGCTGTCGTCCATCGACCTGCGCGACCGCCAGGGCTGCACCATGGTGGTGGGCAGCGACGGCAGGTACTTCAGCAGGACGGCCACGGAGATCGTGGTGCAGATGGCCGCGGCCAACGGGGTGAGTCCTGGGGCCCGCCCGCCGCCAGCCCTAGCGCCCCTCCACCTCCCCGGTACCCGGAGAGCGCGCGGGATCAGGGCCCACCACCCCAGGAACCCCCAGGGCCGCCCCCTTCCAGCCTGAGGGCGTCCTGAAGCCGGGTGTCATCCTGGTCTGGGCCCCTCACTGGCTCGTGATTTCTTTTCAAGGTTCTCTTTTTCATTACGCCGCAGTTTAAACTTAAAATATTGTCTTAGCCTTGTTCACCATCCCACTTTACCCACGCAGACGTCTTCAGAATCCCAAGTGTTCCCTGAGTCCATTTGGACTCCTCCTGAATCTTGACTCTGCCAAAGTTAAAGTTAATGTAGTATCACACACACACACACACACACACACACACACACACACAGAGAGAGAGAGAGAGAGAGAGAGAGAGAGAGAGAGTCAACTGGGATGTAGTTGTCAAGGGTGGACCCCAAGAGTATTTTAGATCATTGGCTCTTTAACCCAGTGGTTACTTAATGATTACTTTGGAGTGGGATGAATTAGTTTGATGTTATACAGCCTGGACACTCAGTTTCCAGGAAACATATCTTTAAATACTCTGAAATTAGATATGCAGTGATTTTCTTAGTGCGTTTCTTAACTTCTCCCAAGATGCTTTGGACCTCCTTCTGTCCTTTGTTTTTGATCCTAAATCTAGCAGCACCTTTGGCTGTATCCCTGGTTCTTCTTCCCCAGTCCAGCAGCATAACTTTAGGGTCCTCTGAATTTGTCTGTAGCAAATGCTTTTAAAAAGACAGGTCACAGCCTTGTCAATGCAACCAGAGCAAACCCAAAAACTTTTGGGGGAAATTTCTTTCCCCCAAAAGAAAGTAGAAGTATAAATTAATGTGGACATCTTTAAATACGAAACAAAACAGTGTGGATTCACTCCCTCCTTTCTAATCTTTTAATGTTCTTCTCCTCCTCTTCCATCTTTAGGGTTGTCTATGCTTTAGGGTTGGCTACTAAAATTTTTCTTTCTCAGTGTTTCAGGAATGGGATATATATATATATATATCCAAAATCAATAGGGTGAAAGAAAACCAGTGATTGGTGGTCAGTGGTACAATTGTGATTATATATATATATATATATCTATCCAAAATCAATAGGGTGAAAGAAAACCAGTGATTGGTGGTCAGTGGTACAATTGTGATTTTTCAACTCAAGCAGGTAATGATGCTACAGATCGGGTACTGGTGTTTGTCTCTGGTTCCTTACCTGCAATTGATGAAAGTTGGCTAGAATCAGGGAGGTGGAGAGGGGTTTCCAAACAATCTTTTGCTGTAGTCTGACCAAGATCTTCCTGTAGAATGATGGATAATAATGAGCCCTGGGATGGTTGTGCATACCCCCTTTCCTGGCCCAGTTGTCCAGTCAGTAAGAGAAAGAGTTTGTTCAATATTTATTGTAGGTGAGGGTATTTTTAAACTGCAATTATTGGTTTGCATAGATAAATTAGTACTATGCTTTGTTGTTTCATGGCTGATTTTACCATAAGGACTCTTCATTAAGTCTTCTCTGATAGAACACATTTCTTGACTTTAGAGGCAGAGCTGGAGTGCCTACTTAGGCTCAAGTGTAGCATAGTCATTCTTGTGAAGGGCAGAAAGAACAATTAAAGCACACAAAGAAGCACCTCTGAAAATGCTATTTCTAAGAAGGGTGAGTGTGGATGCAGGCGATGCTGGACACGTTTTAGAATGTCAAGCTGCCAACTCTAACCAATCTTTTCCTCATTTTGTTCTTCTTTGTGGGCCTTGTGCCAAAGTGAATAGTCAGAAGGTTGGCTTCAGGCGAAATATGATCCAGAAGGACTGGGAAGTTATAAGCAGAATTGGTCTTGCAGGATTGAAAATTGATGGGAACATTCTTGGAATGCTGAGACTTGGCAAGATGAACTGTTATCCCTTTCTCTTTCCTTTTTTATTATAATTATTAGCACATACAAATTGCAGGATAGGATGGGTTTCTTAAGAATAATTCTAAATGCTTTGAATTAGAATTTTGACTTCTTTTCTTTTCTTTTTTTTTAAGTGGAACCGAGGATTGAACTCAGGTCCCTGTGCTTGCCAGGCAAGCACTTATTCCACTGAGCCATCTCCCTGGCCCCAGAATTTTGACTTCATATTGGATATCTTTCTTTTCTTTTTTGTGGCCAGTTCATCCTGCCCTGGGCGCGGGGCTGGCACAGCATGTGGTGCTGGGGATCGAACCGTGGTCCTTGTGTTTGTCTAAGCTTGCCTAAGCAGGTGCTTTAGACCACTGAGCTATTTTCCTGGCTGTGGAAGATATTATTCTTCACCAGGCTGGGAAAACTAGAGTTTGTTCTCTTTGACTTGGTGAATATGTCAGAATGGGCAACATTCTATCTGAAAAATCTTGATTTAGAATTAAAAAAGTTATTTTATAAAGAAATTTTCTATGAGAAATAATACTTAATCTTTCATAATTTTAATTGTTGGAGAACAGAAGTATGAAATTTCTGAATGTTAAACTATATTGCTTATGTCTTAATAGCTGAGAGTTTGAAACAGACATTTCAAATACATATCTGTGTACATTGTGATTTTCAAACTTTATTATATTATTTGTGATTATTATTTATTAGTTTGTGAGATAGTAAAACTTTCAGAGAAATCTATAGAGTAATATTAATGACATCAATAGGTCTATAATCTAGCTTTAAACATCTGCAATATTTGTGTTATTCTTTTTGGCTTAAGTATTTTCAAGAATGTTAAAGAAAATGACATTTACTCCTAAATTATTCAATATGGATCCCCAAAATCATTCCCTAAAGAATATTTTTTTTACATAGTTATAGAGCGTCAGCCAAAGAAAAAATTGTTTCCTCATACCATTTATTGCATATCATTTATTACACTTAGATATACTGAATTATTTGGAAACATGTTTTTTTCTTTATTTTTTATTTTAGGGAAGGGTCTACAGCATGTTCAGGGTCTCACTACTAGATTGGACTCGTAGTGATCCACCTGTTTACAGCCTCCTAAGAGCTGGGATTACAGGTGCATGCCACCATGCCCAGTCTCAATTGCAGTCTCAGCGAGCCCTGAAGTGGGGCTGGCACGGCAGGCCCGAGGATTGAACCCCCGGCCCCTGTGCCTGCTTGGAGGTGCTTTAATCCGCTGAGTTATTTGGCTGGCCCATGTTTGTTTTATAGACTGTTTATTCAGACCAGTTTCTACCAACTAAGGAGCAGACACTACATTTGGTTATTTATCTCAACCTTTTTTTTTTTTTTTAATGCAGCCAGTACTACCTTATTTATTACTGAAATTGATTTGTTGAAGAACCAGATCAATTGTCTTGTAGCATGTACCCTTTACTAGAACTTTCACATTGCATTTTATAGTGTCATGTGACTTTTTACTCTATCTTGTTTTTATTGTTGTGGCTTTGGTTAACTGAAAATTAGTTCTAAAGACTTGCCTTAGTCCATATGGGTCACTATAGCCAAATAGGAAGGACTAGACACCTTATAGATAACAACAAAAAAAAATTATTCCATGCGTGGGAAGGCCTAGGTCAGGGTGCTGGCCTTCTGGATGTTTGATGAGAGCCCACCTACCTGCTCATGGGATGGTGTCTTCTTGCAATGTCCTCACACAGTGGAAGGGACTGGGCTAGCTTGCTGGACTCTCTTCTGTAGGGTCCTAATCCCAAATGTGAGGATTCTGCTCTCAGAGCTGTATCACCCTTCTAAAAGCTTTACCTCCTAGTAAACTTGGGGTTTAGGATTTCAACATGTGAATGGGGGGGGGAGTATAGCATTCAGTCCCATTGTAAGTCTTATAACATTTTTCTTAAAAACAGTATTTTATGGTATTGTGTACTTGGGTTTCATCTTATTAGGAAACACAATCTCTGGTTATGCCAGCATTGAATGCTGAGATTGTTGCAGGGCTATGGTAGTTACTGCCTGTATTCTTGATTGTCTTTTCCCTTGAGTCCAGCCAGCCTGTGGAATCAACTTTATATAATATACATGTTCAGTTCTTTAGCAGCCTTTACTCAGTTGTCTTAATATGCATTAGTGGTTATTTCTTAAGTTATTTTATTAGGAGTTTCAAAATGGTGGTTTCTTGATTTTCTAATTTCATTAGCTGGCCTTTTCTTATCAACTAGATATTTTACTCACAACAGGACTGTTTTTCCTGTTCTCTCTCTCTCTCTCTCTCTCTCTCTCTCTCTCTCTCTCTCTCATTGAAAATTTCCAGAATGCGAATGTGGCTTAGTGGCTATCTCCATAAATGAATTGTATGACAAACAATTTTTGTTTTGTTTCACTTTCATTTTTTAAATATCACTGTGGGTGCCTGGATTTTTATGTGTTCATCTTCTGTGCATCACTGGATTAGTAAGTGAGGAGATAATTTTTGTTTTTTGTATTCTTATGTGAATTGCTTTAATTCACCTTCAGAAGTACATATGTTATAGTATTTGTATCTATATGTAGACATATATCAATTATATGTATATTATTGAAATGGATTTATTGAAGAACCATATCAGTTTTCCTGTAGAATGTCCTTTTCTCTGGACAAATGTATTATATAGAATGATATAAAAATAATGATAAATGTACAAAAAGTAGCAAATTGTATCATCTAAATGAATCATGAACAAGTTAAGTTTGTAACCAATTTTAAAAAATATTTATTTATTGATTTTTTTCAGTACCAGGGATTGAACTGAGTGCCCTCATACTGAGCTAACAGTTTCAGCCCTTTAAAAAGATTTTTTTTTTTTTTACTTTGAGAGTCTTGCTACATTGTGCAGGCTGGGTTTACACTTGGGATTTCCTGCTTCAGCATTCCTGAGGGCTGGGATTTACCGGCATGGGCCACCATGCCCAGGTCCAATTATTTTTCCAATCAGATTTTAATATATATATATATATATATATATATATATATATATATTATATATATATATATATATGCCAG